AAGAGAGAGAGAGAGAGAAGAGGAGGAGGAGAGAGAGAGAGAGAGAGGACAAGAGGAACGAGCGCACTTCCCGGGGCCAAGGAGATCCAACGACAGGAGACTGACGACAGGAGAACAAGGCCGGACAAATATATATACGATCCGGCGATCCGCCATCCCTCGCGAATCGGGCTGAGTTGTCTCCCACGTAAGGAGCTGTGTCAACGGCCCGACAGTACGTACCAATGGTACACGTGACGGCCACGTCCCCCTCGCTTCCTTCAGACTCCCCTGCGAAAGGCCTCTAAACAACTAACTCGCCTTGCCCCTCGTCCTCGTTCAACGGGCCGAGCTTCTTCGTCCTATCACCTTACACGCTATTCCACTCGCTCTCTTCTTCCCCCCGCGTACGATTCTCTCACAGTACGTGACCCATTCTGACACACAGACCCACTGAATCCGCCGAGATCGAGATAGAGGAAGAAGGTAGGACGCGATCGGATCCAACGCGTCTTAAAATTTCCCTCGCGTCTCTAGCACAGGGGAGGGGGAGGAGGGGGGGGAGGCTGAACGTAGACGTAGAGGATCGTTACCTCTCTTCTTCCGAGGTGCCTGGTACCGTGACCTTGTTGACCCCCCGTGATAGATGGAAGTAGTTTTAGGTCGCGGACGATCCGTGGCCTTAACTCTCGCATCGTATCCCTTTCCTCCTCTTTCTCTCTCGGCTGTTGCATCGTGTCTTCTTTGGTCCAGATTCTCGAGCGTCTTTTCTTCAATCTTTCTCTTCGAATATTAAAAGATTCCAAGATTCTTCCGCCGGGAGTGTTATGTGAAATGTGACGAAGGATGAAAAACGTCGACGATAATCTGGATAATTTCGTTCGAATTTTATTATTCGATTTAAAGGGAAAAAATTTATGCAACTGTGTCTCTCCACCGGTTCGTTCCACCCGCGGAATGACGAAATTAATGTTGTCGCTCGGCACAATTGTAATTAAGGAAGACGGGGACTGTGACGTTATTGTTTCGGCGTGGTGGCGATCTCTCGAGGCGTGGATCGCGTAACAACGAGAGCGGTCGGCCAGGTTGGAGAGTAGCATCTTGTTGCTCGCATCTTTTTCTCGCCTCGCCGCGCCAGTTTCGCCCCTCACCTTCACTCGCGGCCCTCCTCTTTTTTTCTCTGGCGGCTAACTAGGCGTGTCCGCGGCGGGGAAAACAAACGCTGACGCCGACAGGGTGATCTCTCACCTTCCTTTTCCAACCTTCACTCTCCCGTCTGAAACCATTCGAACTCGGCAATCGTCTGTCAAGTTTGGATTTTGCGACGATCGAAAAGACGAGTGGTGGGGTAAAATGAATTTTTGTTCTTGAAAAAAAAAATCGTTAACGCTAGGATCGATCGGTATTTTATATTAGTTCGTATCATCTGTTATTGATTGATAGTTCTAGGATAATGAATGTATGTAACTTCTCAACTTCATATGGTAATGAATAATCAGTGAGTCGATCGATAATTTATCGTAAAATCTTGAGGCGAGCATTGGATTGAAAATGGTGTGACATTGATCGAGATTGATCTTGATTCGCGATTCATCGTGGAGAAAAAATGAAAAATGGTCAAATGGAACGTGTCACTGTGCCATGATCTTGTTGTATAATACGAATACACGGTGGATTGAGGTTAACGCATCTCTAATGCGTCAACAAGGTAGGAACCTCGCGAGGAACCGAGGTGAACAGTGTTAACGCGCGTGCCACATTCACAACACGCAGGTGAATTCGCGCGCGGACGGATCTGCTGGATTCCACGGCAAACAATGGAAATTGTTCAAAGAACGAAACTCTGAAGTAAACGTAAACAAGTTGGAAAGATTCGAAACCGATTCTTCCGAAGCTTCGATGCTCGTTCATCGTGATTCTTCTTTTTTTCTTTTTCTTTTTTAAACGTGCGAAGGTATACATATATATTCGGCTGATTTGATTCCAGGTGAGTTTGTGAGAAACGTGTCTAATCAACTTTGTGTTACGAAATTGTGATGTTTTGATCGTGAACTAGTTTCTAAAAATCTTTATCTTTCGAACCTCTTCTGCTGTGCCAATTTTTGTCCAATATTTGGAGTTGTGAAATTTTTCAATAATTTTTTCCATTGATACCAAATTGGGTTTCTGTTTTAAAATTAACCACTTAGAGATTATTATATAAAAATTCTGTGCCACGTCTCAATTACGTTTCTTAGAGTAGTTTTCATTTGTAAATATATCCATCGTAGCGATTCTTTTTAGAGAATATTTTGACCGTGGCACAGATATTATATCAGGTGAAGGGACGACAAGGTAGTATTAGTAGAAAGGTCACTTTTTTGACACTGCAATCCATATTCTTCTTCGTCTTCTCCTCTACTGTAATCATTCACATTACATCGTGCCACTTTTTCCATTTTGGGACACTGTACACTTTTCAACTTCTTTTTATTTTGCAATATTGCATTCCATTTTGTCCATGAGTCATTACATATTATTTACCGCTTGGAAACTGAGAAATTTGGATCTCTATGTTATAGCAGTGCTACTTACTCTACTTTTATTTCACCACAATGAAATAGTAAACGTGACATTGGTTCATTCTCCATTGTTACGAAGGAAAGTTCTCGGTTTACTGGTAAACGGGGACGCGCGGAATTAATACGAGCGAATACGTTATTGTCGCAACGTGAACAGATCCCGACGATTCTTGTCAAACCAATCCGAAAATTCACTTCTATTCACAAAGAGGACAAAGAGTCTTCGAGGACAAAGATTCGGTCCGAAAAAGAATGTTCAAAAATCTTTCCGAAAACATCGTCCTCGACTTTCAAAACAAAGACTTATACGAAGAAATCGTCGAAGTAGTCTCGTTTCCAAGAAGAATTTCTTCTCTTTTCTCTTCACCAATGTTTACACGATGCAACGTGATACGAAGAGCAATGAGTCGGAGGAAAAAATATTTTTCTTCTGATTTTCTTCGAAGCTTCGAACAACTTTTACAAATTAATCGAATAGTCAATAGAAAATTCTTTGAACAGGTAAATAGACAATGTTAATTATATTTAAAGTAAAAAATATATCGAAATAGTTTTGTTATTTAAATAAAATTGAAATTATTAATTGAGATAATACTTTGAAGAATTATTCGAATAATATTTTAAAGTAAAGTATTTCTAAATTTTTATTTTTGATTATTTTTAAATATTTAATATAAACGGAATAAACGTTAGAAAAGAAGAAAAGTAAAATTCTCTTTTTTAATATTATTATTAAAATATTATTATTGCATCTATCGCAATTTATCCCGATACTTTTTTAATCCTAATTTTAGATTATATTATTATTATTATAATATCCTTGTTGCTGGATTCAGGCCAGCAATCCACAACAACAGATGGCTGTAACTTCTGACCCGGCTCATTAGCTTCCTCTGGAATTTATGTTCATCGTTCAGCTACTGTTCGATTTCGCCTCGAGCGTGTTCTCATCACCGATGGGATTCTGGGTCTTCTACCGATCCTTCTCTAGATGTTATCTAGAGAGGAGGAGGGATCTTTAAAATTTACTGATGATGCGCAAAATTCTTTATGGACGCAAAGTTTTGGCAAATTGAATAAAGGTCAAGAAAGGCTTTGTGCGAACTTGTAAGCGTTTAATTATATCCAACGATTGTAAAATATTTATTACGCGGTTATTACTTTCTTGAAACATTGTATTGCTAGTTTTAACAATTTTATTACCGACTATTAACGATCTACTTTTCCTTGTTAACAGGGGAGTCCCGAAGAGACAGGTTACACATATTTGATGATGTAACAAAAATATTTGATTTTTCGCCACCATGCGCGAGATTTCTAGACAGAGAATTCCTTTTGTTAGAATATTAAATGATATATACACGTATATATACTTATACTGTTTTAAATAATAACAAAATTTAGATAATGGATCATTACAATTATTACTGACATTTTGTCTTGAAAATTACGATATATTTTACAAGCCAACTACGTGATGTTCTCGCAGGGAAAACGCACGGGTATTTTACCATGATACCGTGAACAGAAATCGTGTTCCCGCCGTTTTCACGCCGCGTGTAAACGCGCGACCTTCCCTATAGTTTTATCTATGGGAGCAAGTGAATCGAGGATGCGCAATCGGCCCAGTGGCACACAAAGCGAAGAAAAAGAGCCTACCTTTTAGACCTTGTTCTCCACTTCCTCGCGTGTAAGCAGCACGGGAGGCGGAGCTAGGGGGAACAGTCTCAATTTGGCGACAATGTTTCCCTAGATCTACGATTTCAGCTTCCTAACGATGACTTTCCAATCAGATAGCTAAGTATTACGGCGTTACTCTTCCATTGAATTATCGAGGTTATTTAAAAATCCTCGTTGAAATTTAAGAAAGGAAAAAAAAGAATGCATTTTCGATTATTCTTCCACGTAACGAATCGTTACGTTATATATCGTTTCGACGAATTCTCGAAAAAGTTTCGAAAGAAAAAAAAAAAAAGGAGGGGAGAAAACGTCGAATAATCTCTCTACTCGTTATCTCACAGAACATTACCCTCGACCATCGCGATAATCCTATGCTTCCAACCTATGATTCTAACTCGCTCGTTCCTCGGATCGAGCAGTTTTTCCCGAACGCCCTCGCAATTAGCCCGATTCCTTTTCATTTGGAATCGTTCTTTCACACCGTATGGCCACGGCGCGCAATTATCAACGGGCCATAATACAATTATGGTACATATAGGTAATCGCATTAGAATCGACAAAACAAGTTACACAGAAGAACGATCCAGAGCTGGATTCACGCTCTGTATGCCGTAACTGTTAATTATACTCTGTTTCTATAAAAATGGTCATTCGTTTGGCCGTTCAGTCCGCGTCGAACATGCCTAGTCAACGTACGAGCCTCCTCGTTGTCCCGACGTTGTGTTGCGCCCTGTTGGCCGTATGCTGTTGCACCGTTCTCCATCGTTCAAACGCTGCCCGTAGCGACGACACAGTGTCGAGATCGATCGATTGCGACCACGAAAAGAATTCCACGGAATGCGCGACGGGGATGAAAGAGATGGGATCAAGAAGAAGGGGGAAGGATCAGTCGTTGACTGTCGGGCAATCGAGGATTGAAGAGTCGAAGAGCGAAGATGGCGCGATCGTTGAACAGGGTGAGTGATTGAAAAATTGAGGATGGTTACTTGTATACGTAATCATACAAGTATCATTGGATACTAAGCAGATAATAGAATTCTAATGTATACAATGTTTACGTAAGGAAAGATGGTTGATGGAAAAAAGGAAAATTATTCCGGTAAGAGTAGAATAAAATTGAATAAAAGTATCGTCGTTGAAAGTTGATATTATGTGGTCTGTAGTTACTCTACCTTGCATAAAATGGGAACGTTTCGGTCAGACAACTGCTCGAGTAACTTCAGTAGTAGACGATTATTTTTTTTTTTTTTTTTGTTTTCTTCTTATGACGATGCATATATATATATATATATATATATAAAGTACCGTTTCCGCGAAAACGATTCTTTCCAGTTATTCATGTTGCCTGTTACCTGTTAATTATTCAATTAAGGCACCGCCATTTTTGTTTCCTTTCATAACTATCATCGCGTACGATCTTGCACACAGCGTGACACAAGTTAAATTACTTTCTGCGTTAAAAATGAACGCGTATTACGAGTATTATATCTTCGTTTATTATTGTAATATAACGGAAAGTTTGATTTTTTTCTTTTTTTCAGTCACTGGACGAAGAAAGAAGAACAAGGGATACGGGCAGATGTTGCTCTATTTTCTAGGCGCGTCCAAAATGACTATGCTTTACGTAATAATGAATGCCGTTGCTGCAATCGCTGGAAAGGCTCTGATCGTCGCCAAAGTTGCTCTAGCGATTGCGACCGCGATCGCATTGAGGAAAATTCTTGGTTTTGGTTTTTTTTTTTTTTTTTTTTTTGTAATTTTTATTTCTACAACGCGCGTTACAAATCACAATTTGTTGTTAATAAATCTTTGTCTTTACTTTCAGAACACAAGGAGAGAATATCGTACGAGATAATCAAATATCCGTATCACAGCTACGAGAATACGCACAGTACAAGTTTCGATTACGATCATCATGGTGGATCGTGGGAACGTGATTTTGGATATCAGAGACAAAGAGTGAATAGAAAATTAGTTCGTTGAAGGGTAGAAGAAATAAATGTTTTATATCGATGAAGAATTTCGAATGAAATAAAAGTAAATAATGTGTAAAATAAATGAATAAATCGGATTATTGATTCTTATATTATTTATAAAGAAGATTTTGGATACTTCTTCAAAAAGTATGTTTGTTTTTTTTCAACTTAGAATTATATGAATAGAAAAACATTTCTTTGGAATTAATTAAAAAGTTATTTACAATTCTTCAAATTTCCAGGACTGAAAATATTTTGATAGTAATAACTTTTTATTGATGTCATTTTTACACACGAACACACGTTGCAATATATTTGCATGTGCAAAAAATAAATAAATACAACAATGCAATACAATATAATTTTTTGGTAATTCATCAACTATTCTAACTACGAAATATACACGAATCCTTAATAAAAACGATGCAATCGTCTGTTCTATAAACCTCCTCGATTATTATAATCATCGTACACGAAACGAGGCTACAATCAACGTCTAATTTTATTTATATATACAAATAGTGGAAAGTATCTCTATCCTTTTTTTTTTACTCGCTTAGCAAATATCGTACAGGGAATAAATTAAGTTTATTTGTTTCATTCAAGTTGTAGGAACGCCCTCCATAGCCCTTTGCCAGCCACCTCCGTATCCTCCACCGTAACTTCCATGGTGTTCAGAGCCTGTAGCGTAAATCACCTCGTGCCCGCCTCCGCCGTGGCTGGACACCAGCTTCTTCAATCCGATTATTGCGCTCAAAACCAGGGCTATCTTGGCTGTGAGCAAAGCAGTTCCAGCGATAAAGGCGATTTTACCGTAGGCCAGTTGCGCCATCATAGCTGGAAAAGTAACGATTTTCCGTTAATATTTCAAAAACGTGTGAAACAATTTCGTATTCTTATTCTTGATCGATTCAATCGTCTTACCACCCACCGCCATTGCGCCCATTATCAGTGCACCGTATCCCTTGTCCTTTTTCTTTCGACCTGAGAACAAGGTCGAATTTTTAATTTTATCCAAACGAGGAACCTTGCATCGAATCGATATAATTCCAAATGAAATTATCTCTCTCACCTTGAAACGCATCCCCAGGAATAGTCAACTTGACGTTTCTTGAGGAAATATACTCGTGAAACTTGTTGTCCAGCATCTGGTCCAGACTCGGCTCGGTCCCGTTCTCCTTGAACGATCTATCGATATTCTTGGGGGCCGCGGGATCCCTGCCGATCGACACGTACTCGTTCAACACGTACACCGTGTCGTCCTTGATCGCCGAATCCAGGATCTCGAGCGCTCTCCTCTTCAAGCAGTCGAACGCGTTCCTCTCGGCGGCGCATTTGTCGAACAATCTCGTGTACTCGTTCCTGGCCTGCGCCCGGTCGAACAGTAGGAGGCAAGCGAGCAACGCGACAACGTGACAAATCGTTCCTCTCATGTCAAACGAGACGATGATTCGCGCAATATCGAGGCTTCGGAGCGGACGAGGTTGTGGACAGTTTGGAAAAATATCGCGGACTAATTGAAATTGCCGGATGGCCGCTCTTTTATAAGGGTGTTTCCCGCGTTTCCTCCTACCTTACGATACTACTACCGGCTCACACCTGATCCACGCGCTGTTTAACGCCTCCTCCATCCGAGGAGGGAGGGACTCCCTCTTTCAAAACAATGTCGTACAGCCCCGTAAGTAAGTATCCCTGTGACCCGGTTGCCAAGCGAAGCTTGAACCCTCGCGCAACAGCCCGCGAATCGAGTTTAAAGGCAAGTTTTAACGAGAATTGCGAATCCAGGCTGTAGCTTTTCTTATATATACACGTAATCACGTATGATTGTCGAACTAAAAATCTCGCTAGATAAAAATCGAAGAGGGTATATGAGGGTGGATGATCACGTTTTACAGTGAAATTGGAATTTACGAGAACGAGAAGAATCCGAGCGTAACGAATTTCAACAACGAAGCAGAAATTTGTTTATATTATTATTCGATCATTTTAAAAATTTGTGGAAGAAAGAAGGAGAGGAGAGAGGATTTTCGAGCCGAAAATATGGAATGTATAGAAAGAGAATGGAGGCTGCTTTTTATTATTTATAAGCAGCGAAAGTTTGCTTTATTTACATTTTCGTTAAACGGCTCGCGCAGGTCCCGTCCAAATGATCCTTAATTACGCGGAATTAATTAACACGCCTCGCCGAGATACTGTTAATCCGACACGGATTACAGACCGTGACGCGCCACATCCGTCAAATTGTGGGCAAAATTACGCGCGCACGAAATTTTTATATTTAAAAATGTCCACGCGCGCGAGCAACGGTGGTCCGGGTTGAAAAATTCAGGACACTCTTCTCCTCTTATTTATCATTTCCTACGCTTTCCACGATGGCCGTTTCTTCTCCGGTGGCCGCCATGAGCGAACTCAATTACCCTACTTGACAGACAGAGAGAGAGAGAGAAAGAGAAGAAGAAGAAACGTTTAACAATGTTATGAACAAAAAAAAAAAAAAGAAGAAGAAATTTCCGACATCTTCTCGAAAAAAATCTGGTTGCAAGTTTGCCGCGACTCGTTATTACCCGCGCGGATTTCGTGTTTCTTCTTTCGGATGATTGCCGTCATTACCCTACTTCGAACTTTGAATCGGTGAAGTGAAGGGGAGAAGAAGGAAGGGGGATTAATAAGCAATTTCGCGAAGTACGAGGGAGACGAATTTCACGCGATGATGACGTGGAATTTTCCGTAAACACGAGTTTAAAGATTACGGGGAATCTAAAGGACGACGAGTTGGAATTGTTTAGAAGAGAAGAAAGAAGGAGGAAAAGGAATAATAAATAACGCGGCAAATTGCATCCCGTTGAAAATGATAAAAACTTGGAATTAATTAAATAATTTTATTAATATAATAACTCTGTTCGAATAACGATAAAAGGGCATCGATCTCCAAGGAAAAAGATAAAAGAAAAAAGAGGAAAAGAACAGGCTATCGTGAAACGGGTTAGTGATTCGAATAAATAACGCTTCGAATTAATTAAATGAGAATAAAAAAAGGAGGAAAAAATCTAGATTAAATAAGAAATAACTCTATTAGGCATCGAGTAAATAACGATAAAAAAACGCCGACCTCCAATTACCGAGGAGAAGAATAAAAGAAAAG